TTCCATGCTGGAGATTTCTCCCCTGGGCAACGTTCCATGGTAAGGTAGACGAGTTGAAGTTCAGAGTGATCCAATCAAGACATTAACTGAGAATAATCAACTGCATACAACTCAGGAGAAAAGAGCCTGAAATTAGCCAACAGAAAACATATAATCTTCCATCTGGATAACACAAGGATTTCTTTGATGACCAGGCAAAACTGTTATAGCTTGGCTGGGAAGTTCAGATTCAACCACTGTATTCAACAGACATTGCAACTTCAGATTTCCATTTATTTGTCTTTACAAAATTCTCATAATGGAAAAAATGTCAATTCCTGGAAGACTGTAAAAGGCACTTGGAACAGTTTCTTGCACTAAAAGATAAAAAGTTTTGGGAAGATGGAATTACTAAGTTGCCTGAAAAACAGTACGAGGTAGTGGAACAAAACTGTGAATATGTTGTTAAATAAAGTTCTTGGTGAAAATGAAAAATGTGTCTTTTATTTTTATTTAAATCCAAAGGGACTTTTTGGTCAACCCAATATATGTTAAAATATATGTTCACAGAAAATCATCACTGGAACACCTAGTAATAGTTGCTACAGACAGGCTCCACCCATGGAAGCTAAAAATTTGAGAACAAAAACAGTATATTTACACAGTTTCAAAGTATTTCTTCCAAGACATTTATTAACTACAAAAAACATATTATACAGTGGAGAAGTCCAGCAAACACAGCAAGTATTTGCTCATAGAACAGACCACAGGTGATGAGCTAAGAGAATATTTATCAAATTTAAAGGGCCTATATGCAACAGTCTAATTTAAAATACAGAATGTGTAGCATAAACAAAATAAACATTTTTGAGGTGACAGGATAACCCTTGAAATGTACAAAGATAAAGTCCACTCTCCAGAACAACTTAATGTAACAGTCCTGTAAACTGTCCATCAAGAGACATGCCTTCTGTATTAAGACTCTTGGACAGAGAAAGCAAATGAAGGCTTCAACCAATCAATCAGGTTGGCAAGGCATAGATGCCTGATCTGCAAATGTGATACTTCTGTTAAATCTTGAAAAAAAAAAAAAAAGTATATGTATGAGAAAGAAAAAAGCAAAAGGACTGCTTTTTAAACAAGTCCTACTAGTTAAACTAGTTAACCAAGTCCAATGAGACAACCAAATGGCTGTCTGCTGGGGAAAAAACATTTCTGGGGGAAAAAACAGTTACTAAAAGCTGTTTGAATGGACCAGATATTACACAGTATTAGGGAATTACGGCTGATTTTCTTAGATGTGTTACTGCATGCTGACACTGCTTACTGAAGCATCATTTGTCATGATATCCACAATTACTCTCAAACGGTTAAAAGGTATGAATGTATGTATGTATCTCTATATAAGAGATAGAGTGCTACTGGTTGCATTACATTCCCTCAAAATTCATATGGTGAAGTCTTCACCACCACCACCGCCGCCACACCTACCCCCCTGTATCACTGCAGATATCATTAGTTAAGATGGAATCATACACGAGCAGAATGGGTCAATAATTCAACATGATTAGTGTTTTTATAAAAAGGGGAAATTTAGGACACACACTGGCACAGGCCAAGGAACTACCAGAAACCAGGTAGGAAAGTACTAGAACAGATCTGTCCCTAGCACCTTCAGAGGGACCACAGCCCTGCTGAACCATCATCTCAGACACCAAACCTCCAGAACTGGAAGACAGCAAATGTCTATTTGTTTAAGTCTGTGGTTCAGAAGAGGCAAAGGAGTACATCAAGGCTATACATTGTCACCCTGCTTATTTAACTTATACGCAGAGTACATCATGTGAAATGCCAGGCTGGAATCAAGACTTCCAGGAGAAATATCAACAATCTAAGCTATGCAGATGACACCAACCTTACGGCAGAAAGTGAAGAGGAACTAAAGAGCCTCATAATGAAGGTGAAAGAGCATAGTGAAAAAAACTGGCTTAAAACTCAACATTAAAAAAACTAAGATCACAGTATTCGGTCTCATCACTTCATAGAAAATAGATGGGGAAAAAATGGAAACAGTGACAGATTTTATCTTATCGGGCTCTAAAAATCACTGGACAGTGACTGCAGCCCTGAAATTAAAAGATGCTTGCTCCTTGCAAGAAAAGCTACAACAAACCTACACAGCGTATTAAAAAGCTGAGATATCACTTTGCCAACAAAGGTCCATAGAGTCAAAGCTATCGTTTTTCCAGCAGCTATATACGGATGTGCGAGTTGGACCATAAAGAAGGCTGAGCACCAAAGAATTGATGCTTTTGAACTATGGTGCTGGAGAAGGCGCTTCAGAGTTCCTTGGACAGCAAGGAGATCAAATCAGTCAATCCTAAAGGAGACCAACCCAGAATATTCATTGGAAGGGCTGATGCTGAAGCTCCAATACTTTGGCCACTTGATGTTAAGAGCCAACTCACTGGAAAAGATCCCTGATGCTGGGAAAGACGGAGGGCAGGAGGAGAAGGGGGAAACAAAGGATGACATGGTTGGATGGCATTATCAACTCAATGGACATGCGTCTGAGCAACCCCGAGGATAGTAAAGGACAGGGAAGTCTGGCATGCTGTAGTCCATGGGGTCACAAAGGTCAGACATGACTGAGCGACTGAACAGACTTTAGTGACTGAACTTACATTTTGATATATCAGCCCTAACGAGAAAATACAGAAACTCCTAACAAATGTTGAATTTAAGAGGCAAATGTATGGTATTAACTTCTTTCTTCAATTTCTCTGGATATCTAAAATGTTTAACACCACAGGGTAAAGCCTTAGAATTCTGTGAATATTCTGTTCTATAGCAACCATTCATTTAACAGGCACTGATGATACTATCTATTCAAATAAGGAGCTTTGTTTATCAACATCCAAAAAATAACTTCCAAGGATTTTGACTGGGATCATATTGAATCTATAAATTAAGCTGAGGAGAACTGACCACTTCACAATATTGAATCGTCCTAATGTACTATGTCACTTCAGTCGTGTCTGACTCTTTGCAACCCCATGAACCTTAGCCCACCAGGCTCCTCTGTCCATGGGGTTCTTCAGGCAAGAATACTGGAGTGGGTTGTCATCTCCTTCTCCTATTCATGTATTAAACATTGTGCTGTGAGACAGAATGCCATGGGAAGACACAGAGGGGGAGCACAAATGTGAAACAAAGATTCAGATGAACTAACATATATGGTGATTTACAAAAAGGATACAACAAGGGGATAAAGGGACTGGGGTAATTCCAAGCAGAGGAAACAGCAAGTAAAGAGACAACTACAGAGGTTTTGCTTTTTTGTTTTGAAATATAACTGACATAAAACACTGCATTAGTTTTAGGTGTACTCGATTTTAAGCGGTTTTGTTTGTTTTTTTAATGGTTCAAAGACAGGGTACTGAGGAGAGGGAGCATTTGAGGAAGAAGCTGGAAACCTAAGTTCACATAGTGGAGCTAGATTCTGAAATGTTCATTATGCCAACCTAGACACAAGAGTTTATTTGCATCGATCAAATAAAGCAGGAAGTTTACCTGGGTCCTATGGATACATAAATGGGCATCAGTTCTAGTTCAGTCACTCAGTCGTATCTGACTGTTTGCGATCCCATGGACTGCAGCATGCCAGGCCTCCCTGTTCATCACCAACTCCTAGAGTTTACCCAAACTCATGTCTGTTGAGTTGGTGATGCCATCCAACCATCTCATCCTCTGTCATCCCCTTCTCCTCCCACCTTCAATCTTTCCCAGCATCAGGGTCTTTTCAGATGAGTCAGCTCTTAGCATCAGGTGGCCAAAGTATTGGAGTTTCAGCTTCAGCATCAGTCCTTCCAATGAACACTCAGGACAGATCTCCTCTAGGATGGACTGGTTGGATTTCCTTTCAGTCCAAGGGACTCTCAAGAGTCTTCTCCAACATCACAATTCAAAAGCACCAATTTTTTGGCACTCAGCTTTCTTCACAGTCCAACTCTCACATCCATACATGACCACTG